TGAAGTTCTCCAGACCCCAGTGACTATGGATGACCTCTTCAGCCAAGTGTCCATTTGGTTGTTATGCACTGACTTTGTCTTTGAGTTCCCAAGACCTGTGATGCCCAACATGGTCTTGATTGGTGGGATCAACTGCTACCAGGGAAAGCCACTTTCCAAGGTATACTGTCTCTCCTTTAGCTTGGCTTTGGACAATAAAGAGGAAACTCTTTACTGAACTGTGATTTGATATTTACTTTAGCTGCATCTGGAATCTCTTTCTGGTTAATAGAAAATTCTATCCAGGTACCCTGTTAATACAGATGTGAATACCCAGGGCATAATTGCGTATAACCTCCAAGCTATGAGCTGGATTTAAATTTATGTGTATATCTCCTCTTCTTTGCTCAATGTGTATGTAGGTTTGTGCATGTTATGCAAATTTAAAATAAGGTACCTTGACAGTGGAGGGATTGACCTGAGGGAAGAGCACTAGTTAGTGGGAAGTAAGGGACGAGCAAATGGGTGCATAGGCTATAGTAGGGTAGGTGAGGAATGGATACACAAGGGCAAAGTTCAATGACACAAATGCATGGAAATAGCACAGTGCCACCCATTACTTTGTGTGCTAATTTTAAAATGGTGCAAACACTTCCAAGCTACATTTTTAAAAAAAAGATTTATTATGCATACAGTGTTCTGCCTGCATGTAAACCTGCACACTAGAAGAGGGCACTAGATCTCATTACAGATGGTTGGGAGACACCATGTGGTTGCTGGGAATTGAACTCAGAACCTCTGAGTGAGTAGTCAGTGTTCTTAACCTCTGAGCCATCTCTCCAGCCCCAAGCTACATTTTAATATTGTTTTTAGAGTCACTGAAATACACATCAAATCATGAAACCTTCTTTTCCTAGTTTCAGTCTACACTCCATAGGAAAGCACCCTTAGTTGTATTTATGAATTTTCCAACTTTTGGAAACTTCGCATATACCAAATACATACATTCATTCCATTAAATAAAATAATAATAACAACACAAGCAATCTTATTTACATTTGCATTTGACAATGATCACAGGCATGGTCGTAAGCCAGTAAGTTTACTGCTTTACTAATCCCATTAAAACTTTTATATTGGTTAGCCCTTTTATACTTTTTTGTGTGAACAAGACTACTAACCACTATTGGGGATTTTTCCTTTACTTGCACGTGTGTCCACATTCTTTGCATTATCTGAGTAGCAGATATAAAGTAGAGTTCCTGGGTCAAATGGTTCATGAAGTACTTTAATCAGTTAGAGAAAGTGTTTTGTAAATCCTGAACAACTCTGTGCTTTAACTGGCAGACCTAGTGATGCCAGCCATTGTCAAACAAGAAATATCACGTGCAGCTGCTTCAGTTCCTGCTGCTGATCTCCACAGACAGAGGTACCCACTGGGATTTCTCCTTTTTGTGACTTTCATATTCATAGTTGTCAATTATTTTTAATAAAGTCACTTGTCTTTTTATAGCTAGCTGGTACAATCCCTCTGGGAAGTAGCTATGTTAATACAGCTTTTAAAAAGTGTGTGATACAAATGTGTGCTGGGGCTGTTCTTTTTATTTAACTATATCTGAATTAAAAGATCTGGTTTTGTTGGGATTCATTCTTCATCTTCATTTTGCCTGTATGCTGAGGGCCTGAGAGAAGATGTGCTTAGAGATAATGAGCAGGTTTGTTGGTAGAAGAAATATCAAGGCAGGATGATGTTTGTGCTGGCGCGGAGGCAGCAGCTGTAACTGATCAGCAACATGGCTGAAAAGTCTCCTGTACTGCAGTGCGGCAAGGGGAAAGGGTTTCCTCAGGGTCAGCACAGCTGATACAGCTGTGGTCCCAGGAGATCAGGCTGCATCCCAGACTGGCAGCAGACCCTGGTGGTGTTGTGTCATCTATGGGGTACTGGTTTTGAATGCAAAGTTGAAGGATTGCAGGATCATAGGGAACCCCTGAGGCCAGGCAATGTGTGGCATGGTGGGAAGCCCTGCAGAGAGGTCAAAAAAAGACCACTGCATGTAGTTATGAAAGTGAAACCCCCATGACAGTGGAGACTACAGTACATTGGAGATGCTAGGACTGTGGGATATCTACCCCACCCCCAAAAAAGACTTTCAGATGTGGAGTAGAGTCAACCTGAGCCTAAGTGAGAAACTGTATCATGCAGATGGCAGAGCTGGAGAAATGGGGCTACCTAAACCCTTTGGAGTCCGTTATTATCCCCAGATGCTGGATAGTTAGATTAGTGCTACCCTGCAGAGTTTTTATTTTGTATTGATTCAATCATTTAATGATACGATTCTTCCTTTTTAGAACAAGAATGATTGTTCTGAATTTTTATATGTTGGAAGTATATGCCTCTTGTTTTTGATCCAAAACCTACAGGAATAAAGGTCTCCAAAGGCAAAGGGATGAGTAGGAGGACAAGGGATGAGAAATAAAGCTAAATGCAGTAGCTAGGACCAGGAGGTCTGGCATAAATCAATGGCTTATGCCAAGTAAGTGCATTGACAAGTACAGCATCATATGTACTATTTGCAAGAGGAAACATGGTCAAGGTCAGCTGAGATCTAAGTCAGACTATGTTGGCAAAAAAAAAAAAACCCACAATACCTCAGTCGTGCTTGCCTAAGGTATAATAATCACAGCCTAGAGGGAAGACTTGGGTGCCAGAAAAACCACAACATTGACTCTTCCAAGGCACTGACTCCAGCCCTAGACCAGACATGCCAAGTCCACTCTTGGACAAGGACAAGGACCTCTGAGAAAGAATGGGGTCAGTTTGGCTTCCCACAGCTTTTGTTTCTGTTTTTAAGAGTTTATTTCTATTTTTAAGTATATGTACCTGTGTGTCTGAGTGTGGACTTATACATGTGAGCGCAGTGCCTGTGGAGTCCAGAAGAGAACATGGGATCCCTTGGAGCTGGAGTTACCAGGGGTTGTGAGCTGTCTGATCTGGGTATTCAGAAGGACCTGAACTCCCGTCTTCTGCAAGAGCAGCGTGCACTCTTAACATGAGTTTTCTTCAACTTCCTGTTTTCAGTGCTATAGGTTCACAGTAAAGAGACTTAGGACTTTTACAGTTTTGGAAATTTTAAAGACTTTGGGGATTTGGAAAGTGAACTGTATTTTACAGTATGAGATAAGCATGTAGTTTTGGGGGACAAAGTTATGACTTAAAGCAATATCTGTGTTTCTAGTTGAAAAAGGATGGAGTCATGATGGTTAGTTTTAGTTACCAGATTGGCATAATCTAGAATATCCTGGAAAGAGAGCCTCTGTGAGGGAATGCGTACATCAGACGGGTTTATGGGCACATCTGTGGGGGGTTGTCTTGATTATATTAATTGATATGGGAAGACCTTGTCCACTGTGAGTCCACCATTTTCTGTGTGTAGCTTCTGGGTTGTATAAGGATGGAGAAATGGGCTGAAAGTAAGCACAGATGTAGTTATTTCTGTCTGCTCTTGCCTGTGGATGTGATGTGACAGCTGTCTTAAGGTTTTTGAACCTCTACTTCTTTGCAGTGTTGGACAGTGACCAAGAATTTTGGGCTAAAATAAACCCCTTCTCCATTAAGCTCATTTTGTTAGTGTTTTTACCATAGTAACAACAGAGGAAACCAGGCTAGAGTGTGTAAGCAAGTTTTCTTAAGCATCTCGAAATCATCTCTTATACAAAGTCAGTAGAATACTACTGAAGATCCCAAGATAAATCCACTCATAGTTGGCTATTTTTTTTAAATTCCTGTGTTAAGCCGGGCGTTGGTGGCGCACGCACTCGGGAGGCAGAGGCAGGCGGATCTCTGTGAGTTCGAGGCCAGCCTGGTCTACAGAGAGAGTTCCAGGACAGCCTCCGAAGCCATAGAGAAACCCTGTCTCGAAAAACCAAAAAAAAAAATCCTGTGTTAAGTCCTCCAATTTGGATGAAATGGATTCTTGAACAGATGCTGTGGCCTCACCTGAACGTCTACATGAGAAGACATGAAATTATATTTTTATGCCACACACACAGATTAGCTTCAAGACAATGCATGAGAGTATAGAAAAGTTAGTAGCATGGAACTCTTACAATATCTGTTTAAATCTTCATAAAGTTGCTCTAAGAGTCTCTGCACAGAGGTCATGCTGTCTGGTATCTGCAGGTGGGGTAGAACACTGCTCCTACACTGTATGTGCTGAGCAGACTCTGGGTATTATGGGTATTACAGTTTATACCAGAGTCAAATGGCTCGAGTGACTACTGTTTCCTGAAGCAAAATGTGATTAGAGACTTTTTTTTTTAACAAACTCACTAGATATGCTGTCATTATGTCCTGACTCATTATTCAATGCCAGTTCTAAGTCCAACATCAGCCCCTCCTGGAACTGTGATGAAAGTTTAAACCCTAAATTCTGATCCGTTTGTTCCTAGGAAAGCAGAGCCCCTAGCCATTATGTGTGAGGTAACATACTCTGACCACCATCATTGGAGGCAACAAGCTCTCAGAGGCTCAGCTCTTTGTCTTCTGTCTTCTGTCCAGATGTCTGTCTGAAAGCCAGGCTCAGAAGGAAAGTCATCCTGTCTTAGACATGGTGCAAGAAATAATAGAAATTTATCTAACACAGTCAATGTATTCATTTTGAAAGGCACAGTGGCTGTGCTATTGGTTTACTGGTGTCCTGTAGTGGAACAGAGTTCCAAGACTCAGTGTTTGTTAGTCAAGACTCCTTCACTCTCAGATCCATGGACTCAAAGCAATGTTGACACAAACAGTCTTCGTGTGCCTATAGCACAAAGAGGGATGCTCTCTCAGCCTGGACTCTTAGGGGAGTGCCTGGACCCTACCCAGAGTAAAATGACAGACTCTAGATATCCCCTATGTGGAAGGATTTGGCAATAGGGTGGGAGGGTGGGGGGGGAAGGGGAATTCGGGAGGAGGGGAGGGAGAGGGAACTGGGATTGACATGTAAAACAAGCTATTTAAAATTAAAATAAAAAATGATAAAATAAAAAAACTAAAAAAAAGAAGAGAAAAAGAAATCTAAAAAAAAAAAAAAAGCAATGTTGACTCGACCCATGTCTATCCTTTTGGACATACTGTGGCCTTTAGGGAGATACTCGATTTTCTGTGACCTCTAGTGTTCTGTGCCTTTTCTTGGTGACTCTCACTGTCCATCTTTCATAGTTTCCCCTTCTTATGAAGAATAAATGAGCATATGATGGATATAGATGATCCTTATAAGCAGCTTCATTATTTTCCTGAATTTCGAAATTCAAACACATTGTTTAACAACTCTTTTAAAGTTGGTTTTGAAATAGAGGGCATGATCTTTCCAAAACAAAGATCATAAGCCTTTTTTTATCTAGTAAATGAAAAATAGAATTTGGAGCCAACACAGTTTATTAATTATTACTCTTTTGAGTAAATCATTAGCACTGATTTTTAACTTTACTTGTAAACATATAAATACACGTGTCCACTGAACCAGGTCTTGTGCCTCTTAGAAGCTCTATTAGAGGATCTCAGCTCTCCTGGAAGAGCTCAGAGTCTCAGCAGCTGGATTCCCTGGACCCTGCTTCTCCATGGCTCTTGCAGGTTCTCCAGCCTCCCTTCCCCTGTGTGTGTGTCTGCTGCTGGCCTCTGACTTTGTCCAGGCAGGCAGACTGCTGGTGGTCCCCATGGATGGGAGCCACTGGCTCACCATGAAGATGGTTGTGGAAAAGCTTGTCAACAAAGGACATGAGGTGGTGGTAGTGGTGCCAGAGGTGAGTTGGCAACTGGGAAAATCCATGAATTTGACAGTGAAGACGTACTCAATTTCTCACACCCTAGAGGATTTAAACCGCGAGTTCAAGTATTTTTCTGACACTCAATGGAAAACTCCAGAACAGAGTATGCTTTCTTTAATGACAGGCACAGCCAAAGGTTTCTTTGAAATAATATTTTCACACTGTAGGGATTTGTTTAACGACAAGAAGTTAGTGGAGCACTTGAGGCAGAGTTCTTTTGATGCTGTGTTTCTGGATCCTTTCGATGTGTGCGGCTTAACTGTAGCCAAGTATTTGTCACTCCCTTCAGTGATCTTTGCAAGAGGCGTGTTTTGTCACTATATTGAAGAGGGTGCAAAGTGTCCCAGCCCCCTCTCTTATGTTCCCAGAATTCTCTTGAAATTCACAGACACCATGACTTTCACGGAGAGAGTCTGGAACCACATATCCTACATGCTGGAACATGCAATTTGCCCCTATTTTTTCAAAACTGCTTCAGAAATTGCCTCTGAAGTTCTCCAGACCCCAGTGACTATGGAGGACCTCTTCAACCAAGTGTCCATTTGGTTGTTACGAACAGACTTTGTGCTGGATTTCCCCAAACCTGTGATGCCAAACATGGTCTTCGTTGGTGGGATGAACTGCCAGCAGAGAAAGCCTATTTCCCAGGTATGTTATTTCACCTTTAGTCCATGAAGAGACCCCTGGGTTTGGACAATACAAAGGAAATTCTTTACTGAGGTGTGATTTATTGTTTATATCGCATTGTGTGGAATTTCTTCCTGGGTTAGAGAATTGTTTTGTGCCAGTTTACTAATTAGGAAACAATTCTATACAGGTGCCCTATTGACATGGTTATGTATATCTGTGGCAATATTGCACATACATTCAAAGCTACAATGTAAATTTAAATGTGTGTGTGTATGTATGTGTGTGTGTGTGTGTGTGTGTGTGTGTGAGAGAGAGAGAGAGAGAGAGAGAGAGAGAGAGATCATAAAATTAGAAAGGGGAGGGTGCAAGAAAACTTTCCTTAGGAGAAATTAGGAATTAGGTCAGTAATGATAGACATGCCACATGAAAACAGAAAGGTGAAATATTCAGGGGTAGGGAAAACGTATGGAGGGTAAGCCTGACTAGACAGAGAGGAATAAGCAGAAAACGCAAAATTTCTGAAAAATGTCATAATGCTATTGAATATTCCATAAAAGTAATTTAAAGATACAAAAAACCCTTCAAGCTACATTTCACTTTTTTTTGAGATGTTAAAAAAAAAACCGCATCAAGAGCCAGGCAGTGGTGGCACAAGCCTTTAATCCCAGCACTCAGGAGGCAGAGGCAGGCAGATCTCTGTGATTTCCAGGCTGGCCTGGTCTACAAAGCTGAACAGAGAAACCCTGTCTCAAAAAACCAAAGTAAATAAGGTAGCAAACACATCAAGCCATGAAGCAGCCCTAATTTTATTTTTTGGATATGCTCTATGGGAGTGTACATGCAGTTTTTCCAAATTTCCAAATTATTAATGTGATATGTAGGATGAAAGGAAGGTACATTTGGTTTTTTTAAAAGAAAATAAAATGTAACAAGATAAAACAAAATCCATCTTATCAAAATTGGACAAAAAGAGCCAACAGAGCAATAAGCCCCAAGAGAAGGAACATGAATCATAGAGTCACTGGTTAACACATTCAGGAGTCCCATAAAAGTACTAAACCGGCAGCTATGCTGTATCCTCTGAGGACTGGAGCAGATCCACGTAGACCCTGTGTATGCAGCTGCAGTCTCTTCAGTTCATGTGAGCTTTACTGAGTTGTTTTAGATGGTTCTCTGGGTGTCCTCCATTACTTCTTTCTCCCCAACTCCTTCTGCCTCTTTTCCATGGGGTTCCCTGAGCTCTGAGGGGAGGGATTTGATGGAGACATCTCATATAGAACTGTGTGTTCCAAGGTCTCTCTATGTGATGTCTTGCTGTGGGTCTCTGTGTTTGTTCCCATCTGATGCATGAGGAAGCATCTCTGATGCTGCTTGACTATGGCCCTGATCCATGAGTATAGCAGAATATTATTATGAGTCATTTAATTGCTACTTGTTTTTTTTGGTTTTACGAGACAAGGTTTCTCTGTATTGTTTTGGAGGCTGTCGGTCCAGCCCGGCCTCGAACTCACAGAGATCTGCCTGCCTCTGCCTTCTGAGTGCTGGGATTAAAGGCGTGTGCCACCACCGCCCGTCTACTTGTTTTTCCTTAAGAACAGGAGTATTTGGTTCTACCCTAGCTGTCTGAAATTCTAAACTGTGGTTCTTGGTCACCTAGGCAGTGTCAGGCATGGGTTCCATTTCATGGAATGGGCCTCAAGTCAAATCAGACATCAACTGGTTACTCCCACAAGGTTTGTGTCTCCATTGTCCTAGCATCTTTTGTAGACAAGATAGATTATAGGTCAAAGGTTTTGTGGTTGGGTTAGTGTTTCCTTTTCTCTTCTGGTAGTCCACAAGTATGTTTCCATGTCATAGACACTAGAACATGGCGATGAAAGTTCTATGTGGGCACCATATTCAAGACTTTTGTGAGTGTTGTCTTCAAAAATGGGGTCTTGTCAGTTTGTGGAGAGCAACCTAGTGTCTTGACAAGGGCCTGGGATGTTTGGGAATTTCCATGTGACCCCTTTGACCAACACCTGAATTGCATCAAAACCACTCCTCAGAAGGAAGCTTAGTTTGGTTAAAAGATATGACCAGTAAGAGTTCCCTGTCCCTTGTTATTTGGAGACGTCATTAGGATTGCTTTCATATGTTATAGAACGTTTCCACTGCACTGCACTAACTTTCCATAGTGCCACTCAAATACTCTTTAATTCCAGCCTCAATCAATTTGCCCTCTTTTTTCCCCACATGATACTCCTGATCTTGTCCCCTTCCCCTTTTCCAGCCCACTCATAAAACATGTTATTTCCCCCACCCAGAGAGATCTATGTGCCCTCTCCCCCACTGTCTTCCTCTATGCCTAAGCTCTCTGTGTCTATGAATTGCAGCATGGTTATCACTTCTATAATGACCAATATCCAGACACATCATACATATCATACTTATCTTCTGATTGGGGTTACCTCACACAGAATGATTTTTGCTGCTTTCGTACATTTGCCTACAAATTCATACTTTGAATGATAATGAGAATTGCTCCATTATGTAAATGTACCACATTTTGTTTATCTAGTATTCCGTTTGGGGACATATAGGTTTATTTTTTTCCTAATTTCTAATCAATAGTTCAGCAAAGAACTTGGCTGAACAAATATACTTGTGGTATGATGAGGAGTCTATTGGATATATGCCCAAGAGTGGTAGAGCTTATCTATAAGTAGATCTATTGCCATGCTTCTGATAAACCACCATACTGATTTCCTTAGTAGCTATAGAACATTGCACTTTCATCAGCAGTGGATGAGTGTTCCCCTTACTCCAGATCTTCTCCAGCATGAGCTGTTACTAATCTTAGTTATTCTGACTGATGTAAGATGGAATCTCAAAATAGATTTGATGTGCATTTTCCAGATGTCTAAGGATGTTGAACATTTCTTAAAGTTGTTCTCAGTCATCTGAGATCCCTCTATTGATAATCCTGTTTAGATATGTACCCCACTTTTAGATTATTTTTGAAATATGGTTTTTGAGTTCTTCATATATTTTGGACATTACTCCTGTGTAGGATGGGGATTTGTTAAAAATTCTTTTCCCATTGAGTAGGTTGCCACTTTGTCTGAATGCTGATATCCTTTATCTTACAGCAGCTTTTCAGGTTCATGAAGTCCTATTACTAATTGTTGATCTTAGTGTCTGTACTGTCAGTATTCTGTTCAGGAAGTCTGCTCCTGAGCCAATGTGATCAAGGGTATTCCGGACCTTCTCTTTTGTCAGATTCAATGTATCTGTTTTTATGCTGAAATCTTTTATTCATTTGGAGTTGAGTTTTGTGTAGGGTTACAGGTATGAATCTATTTGCATTCTTCTGCGTGTAGCCATCCAGTTTGACCAGTATCATTTGTTGAAGATGCTATGTGTTTTCAAGTATGTATTTCTGGCTCCTTTATCCAATCCTGGTGTCCATAGGTGTGTGGGTTTATGTCCAGGTCTTCAGTTTGATTTCATTGAACAATGTGTCTCTTTTTATACGAATAGCATGCTGTTCTTTTTTTTTTCTGTTTTCTTCTCCTTCTTCTTTTTTTTTTTAATTTCATTTTCCAGTTTAAATTTAGATAAGAATCAAGGTTGCTTCACAAGTCAGTTCCAGGTCCCTCTCCCATTCTCTCCCTTCCTCCCGTGCCCTCCCCTCCCCCCTCCCCCTCCCCCCTCCCCCGTTATCCTCTCATTTCTCCAGGGAGGGTGAGGCCCTCCATGGGGGTGTCCATAGTGTGTCATTTCATATAGGGCAGGGCCTAGACCCTTTCCCAAGAGTTCTGGGTGAGAGTGCACCTCACATTGTTCTATTGGAGTCCAAAGTCCGTGTGTATACTTGGGATGGGTACTGATCTGCTGCCCAAGGCTCAATAGATTCCCTAGGCCTCTTCACTGACACCCAGATTCAGGGGTCTTGATCAGTCCCATGCTGGCTTCCCAGGCTAATGCCTGGGATTCAAGAGTTAACCTTTGTCTGTTCAGCTGTTTCTGGGGGTTAAACCAGCCCAGTCTTAATCCCTTTGATCATCAGTCCTCCCTCTCTGTTACTGGCTTTCTTGAGTTCAGCTCAGTACTTAACCAAGGGAGTCTGCCTCTTCTTCGATCAGCCACTAAATAAAGTTTCTGTTTCCCAGACTCTCTGGCCATAGGATTGTAGGCTGGCACTCCCCAGATCTATGTCTAAAATCCATATATGAGAGAGTACATGCCATGTTTCTCTTTTTGTGACTGGGTTACCTCACTCAGGATGGTTTCTTCTAGTGTCATCCATTTGCCTGCGAATCTCATGATTCCATTATTTTTTTCTGCTGAATAGTACTCCATTGTGTAGATGTACCACAATTTCTCTATCCACTCTTCAGGTGAGGGACATCTAGGTTGCTTCCACGTTCTGGCAATTACAAATAAAGCTGCTATGAACATAGTGGAACAGACCTCTTTGTTGTATGAATGGGCATCTTTTGGATATATGCCTAAGAGTGGAGTTGCTGGGTCTTGTGGTAGGTTTATTCCCATTTTTCTGAGGAATCTCCACACTGATTTCCAAAGTGGCTGAACCAGTTGGCACTCCCACCAGCAATGGAGGAGTGTCCCCCTTTCACCACATCCTCTCCAGCATAAATTGTCATTGGTGTTTTTGATTTTAGCCATTCTGACAGGGGTGAGATGGTATCTGAGAGTTGTTTTGATTTGCATTTCCCGGATGGCTAAGGATGTTGAGCACTTTCTCAAGTGCCTCTCAGCCATTTTAGACTCCTCTATTGAAAACTCTCTATTTAGTTCTGCAGCCCACTTTTTAATAGGGTCCTTTGGTGTTTTGGAGACTTGCTTCTTGAGTTCTTTGTAAATTTTGGAGATCAACCCTCTGTCAGATGTGGGATTAGTGAATATTTTTCCCATTCTGTGGGCTGCCTTTTTGTCTTGCTGACTGTGTCCTTTGCCTTACAGAAGCTTCTCAGTTTCAGTAGGTCCCATTTATTAATTGTTGATCTTACTGCCTGTGCTACTGGTGTTATGTTCAGGAAGCTGTCTCCTGTACCAATTCGTTCAAGGGTACCACCCACTTTCTCTTCTAAGAGGTTCAGTGTGGCTGGATTTATGTTGAGGTCTTTGATCCATTTGGACTTAAGTTTTGTGCATGGCGATAGACATGGATCGATCCGCATTCTTCTACATGCCAGTCTCCAATTATGCCAGCACCATTTGTTGAAGATGCTT